CCCCCCCTCCCCACCCTGCAGGAAAGGCCTGGCCTGGCCTGCGCCACATCTGAGCAGAGTCTCAGGTCTTGGTTCTAAGCATGACAACAGTCACAAGGGGGTCGGCTCCCATGACAGCTCACTGCAGCCCGGCCGCATGGTCCAGGGCTCACTACTTCAGAGAAACATTCTCTGCTCTTTGGATAGCAGGCTCGATGGTCTCACTAGCAGGTTTCCGGCCGCTGGGCAGACGTTGCCAAGTCTGTCAGTGAATTGGCAGGCCTGAGCCCGTCTCGAGTCTCATCCCAGGACAACCAACCGGAGGGCATTTACAGTGAGCTGCCAGGGGATGCCCTGGTCGGCAGTGGCCAAGAGGCCGGATGAGACAGACGCCTGCACAGCCTGTAGCGCACCACAGTCCTGAGCATCCAGGCCCCAGGGGGGTGTTCGCGGTCCGACACCAAGGGGGTGTTTGTGGGCACAGTCCCCCTTGTTTTTTAGGTGTGAGGACCCACGTCGAGCGACAGAGTGAGAATCTGCAGAGACACCAGTCACTGAGCAGTTGGGTTTCTTAAATTCCTCTGCTCTGTCACTGGCAGCAGTGATCTCCCTGGGGCAACATAGGTGAAGTCTCCAGGAACTAAGAACACAGCACTTCTTCCTTTGGAGCAGACAAGCTGACATCTGTGACCTGACCCTAACAGCCATAGCTTTGAAGTGGGGGGCAGGGTGCCCAATCTGTCAGCGCCCCTGACACAGAGCCTACTGGGCAGGTCAGGAAGAAGCCCTTTTGCTCATTTTAAAATGGAGTTACAACTTGCTTATTCTTGGGCTTTATGGATCCCTTTGGAAATTCTAGACACACGTCCTTTGTCAGGTCCATGATATGCAAACCTCTTCTCCCTGGATGGGTCTGGAACTCCTGGGCTGATGTGACAACACACAGAGACCTAGGTACAGGCATGGATACATGTTTCTGGGCAAGAGTCATGGCAAACTGCTTACTGGTTTTGGAGCAATGGCCTGGATGAGTGAGGGATTAGGGGTGGGGGTTGGAGGACGAGGGGGAGGGGTGTGAGTTTATCCTTGAATCTTTTAAATTTTCTTTATGTGCGCGAAATATGCTTTCAAAACAAATCACACTAAAGCTTCTTGGACTTGTAAGCATCACAGGTCCGGCTGTCCTGTGTTCAGACTGAGCGGCCCGAGGGCTGAGCCTGCACAGAGGGCCTGCAAGGCCGCGGGTGCACTCAGGCTCACTGGGTGTGTTGGGAGTGACCAAAGATTACTGACAAGGACTCAATTAGGGCAGTAAAGAATTTTGCCTGGCATCCAAGCTTGATAAAGTGGAGATAAAACTGATCTTGAGATCCTGGATGGGACTAGCTGAAGGTGACAGCCAACTGGGCCTCACATCAAGGACACAGCAATGAGTCACCCCTTGGGA